AACCTCGCTGGCTTTCTGCTGGGCCTCACGTAGAATTCGGAGACTAATATCCCACTCACCCTTCTCCACCTTGATTCCTTCGATCTATGGTACTTGCTTCAAGGGGCACTTGGTTCTCGTCCCCCACTCCTTCGAACTCCATCGTCTAGACCTCTTGGTTTATCTCTTTGGGTGTTTCCTTCTTCCACCCAATGTCCAAACTCGATCGACTTTTCCTTCTTTCAGCCGACCTTGTGACCACCTTCCTTTCCGGACTCTGCACTTGTTTCTCTTGCTCAGTTGCTGGTTACTCGTATCGTCGCAGTCGGTTCGGCCCCCATGTAGTGTAGGATGGATTCGTGGCTGCGACGTGGGAGTAACCCTTTCAAACTGCGCTAGAGACAAGTAGAAAGGAAGGTTTATTTAGATCAAAAAGTCAACAATAAATACACAAACAACAAAGATCACGGGGCGATCGGAAGCGGGTTGTATCGATGGGACCGGACTACCGAGCCGAGGTCGGCAACCAGGTGCACGGCGCAATCCCTTCTCTATGGTGAGCTGCAAAGTCTATCTCCACCGAGCCACTAAGGCTCTTCCCAACTGGCCACTGAGGCCAAATCACCGAGCCACTAAGGCTTCTCACTCACGGCCACTAAGGCCAGCTATCTGAGCCACTGAGGCTCCACTAACAAGCCACTGAGGCTGTCACTCTTCAGCCACTAAGGCTACCTGACTGAGCCTGGGCCCTCTTTCTTACGGGCCGTACAGCTCACAACCAACTACACACTAAGGCACCACACAGATGCCACCGGAACACTGGAACGCTGGAATCTGGAACACCAGAGCTCTGGAACACCGGAGCTCTGGAACTGGAACTGGAGATACTACAAAGGAACCCGGACCCCTTTTATTGGGACCTTCCCGCGCCAATCGGTTGCCTCTGGCAAGGTGGTCTCCCATGACCACCCACGATCAACAACCACCGCCTCCTCCTTGGCCTACCGTGCTCAGATCAGCTGATCATAGCTGATCTCTTTAAGGCATGCATGTCTCTCCCTGACAAATCAATATCCTCGAAGTATTTCTGAACGATGCAGCTATGGAGAAGGCGCACATGTCTTCTCCAGACAATTCATTCCAATCCAAGGAATGGAGTTATTGAACATTTTTGCATATAGGGTGGGGCATAAATATGTAAATGTATATGAATATGTGACAAGATTGAACCACAGCAAATACATTTACTGAACATTGAGCAAAGCTCATCATTAGATCTTCAGATTAGCTACTGCTTCGTGTACAATTCTATGCTTTCATGGTTCTATGATCTTCATTTGGTGAATGACTCCACTTTATCCGAAAGGTGTAAGGCTTCTAGTCTCACGCGCTAACGGGTAGGTCTTTGCGATGAGATGCAAGATGCATCTCCAGACCGTCATTACGACTCTCAGTTGCAGGGAGGCGCAAATGTGGTTCAAGGTTGACATGATACAGTATAATACATAAAACAAGTTTCATAACGATTATTTAGGACTCTCAGAACTCTTAGGACCTTAGGACTCCTTAGGACCATGTTTCTCAAGCGCCATATTCAACACAACTATTTGCGACTGACTTTGATCTATCTGTAAGTGAATGGGCACACCTCTCCCAGATATTTCACTTGTCGTTTTCCTGCGTATTTCACGACTATAGCCACGACGAAAAAATATGCGGCAACTGTACGTAGCACTATCCCTGAACAAAGCTGTGTTGTAACGCGGCGAGGCGGCAGTCTTGGGTTGCTGCCTCGGGTAATTGCGGAGAAATATGATGAAGTGTTCCGGGCTTAGTTACGATTAAAGGACGTCCGTACCCGTGCTCCTTGTGCGCTCCAGTGCATCGTGAATTACAGTGAAAACAATTCTTCACGCTGATAAATCATTCTTGTAAACTGAAATGAACTAGTGAAAGACTGATCACTATAATATTCTCAACAACATTAGCACTTGAGCAGTCGGCTATCTTTGATCTAAAGGAAGGTTTAAGTCGGTCGTGTTGGTCTTCGCAGCTGCTTAATGTGAGTTTGTGTTGGAGTTTTCACGTAAGGTGAAGGTAAGGTGAGGTTACTGTCATTGAAATGGGGGAAATCTTCCTCTGACTCCTTACTACTTGCGTTTTCTTCGAGGTGATTTTAGAAATGCCGACACCGAACCAGTCAAAAACGTCGAGTTCTACAAAATCAGAGAAGAGCACCAGTTCAGTGAAGGAGGTAGAGCAATCAAAAAAGAAAAAAGTGAGATGAATACTATAGAGTGGATTTCATATTGATAACTAGAGTATGCATGAGAAAAATGGCTATCGATCGCACCATCGCAAGATCATTGTTCGAATTGGTGTTCTACTAACGGCCAAGGGGAGAGAATTGAAGAGGTGCGTGCAGGGAACCAATGAACCACGGAACCTTCGGAAACTTAATTTCCGCAGCGGGCACGTCAGAAGTATGCCTAGTGCATCGCGTGCGATAAGGATACGCGGCAACTGAGAAAGCCAGTAGGCTCAAGCTCAAGAGTGCCAGGAAGGATCGGCTCATTATGTTTCGGTTGTCGGGGAGAGACAGCTGCTGTACCACTGACTGACATTAACTTAACCCAACGACGAGTCTCTATCCTCGCATAGCTTTGACCATTAGAGGAGCGCGAAGCTTAGATTTTGTATCGTACCAGGCCGGCTCCCAATAGCTAAAAAAATCAGAACTTCTCTCTACAATGTTGGTTGGATCATGGTTGTATGACAACACTTCTGATAAAGCAACTTTTCAAACACTGTCACATTCTTGATGCGCGCTTGATGTATGTGGTGTAATGCAGCGTCTATAGTTGTTGTACTCTTGGAAGTGGAACTGTGCTCAGGAGCATCGTTACTTGAACTTTAGCAAAACTTGTACCTTAACAATAAAAGTAATATTATGGAGGGGGAAGACCGAAAAGAGGAACGGTGAGTGTCTTGGCTCTTTGCACGACGGCCCGATGAGTGCAGAGGTGCTGCTGTGCCATCTCACGGCGTCATCTGCAAAGTAAAAACTAATAGAAGGCAGTTATTCACCAGTCAAGACAGCAAATTGAGGGCCTTGCTGCTCTAAAACTCATTTCTTAGCCTTTCATAGCCTATTCGTTTCAATCCCTTCTTACAGGCTCGTCGTGCCAGTGGGGAGTCTCTGGAAGGGCTTACAGAAAAAGAATGGGAGGAAGGTTCAGTCGCTAAGCCTGCAGAGCTACTCAATGCAGAGAAGCAAAAGGTAGGGTCCTGTACTGAGAAAAAAATTATTTGAAAAATAGTTGTTCTCGATTGGGAGGTGATAAACAAGACATTTACCATCTCGCCTCTACCGAATCAGGCCTCAGTCAAGAGTTTGACCTGGCTCAAATCTACTTCCATTGCGGTTTTTCTGGGAACATGAGAAATGCCAGCCAAGCTAAGCAAAAGAAGTCCCGTCTGTTAGAAGCGTTATTACCTTTTGGGTCCGTCGCCAGTGGGTCCACCAGAATTGGTCGCCGTAGAGGGACGGCGTAAGCCACACCCATTCTGGCCCAGTAATGTCATTTTCGGGACCAATTCAATGTACTGAAACACCGTTACTCTCTTAAATCTCCACACTTTTATCGCTCATTGTCTACTGTTCATTTATAGCGAATGAATTACTGTGGATAATCATAATTGCTCATGTTCATACAATGGACACATGCTGCGGGTATCCTCATGCATTTTTTCCCAGGCTTTCTTTGATGCTGCTTGCAATGATGCAGATCTGAAGGTTGAGCTCGAAATGCCTCGCTCTTATTCACGGAGCAGACTGAGAGTTCAATGAGCAGGGTTTGGAGAGCAACAAGTTATTCCTCGCGGCTCGGCTATCTTGAACGAGCTTGGCTCCGTGGGCTGAAGCGCTGTCCCGCTGGGAACACTACGGCTTGCTCCCAAGGTGGGAGTTGGACCAAGGCCTCAATACGTTCCACAGTATGCACGTCCTTGCTGATCTTCACACATGAATCAATGAAAACCAACGGCGTCTCACCTTTGGCTGCGACTCAAAATCAACCAAATCCAAATCTTTGCTGATGCCGGGCTAGCCGTTCTTCCAGCAATCTTTCCTCGTAATGGCACTCCCGATTTTTCCAGTAAGAACGCGGTCGTTTTGACGACTCAACAGTGGGCAGTACTCGACAGGAAAAACGATCGAGAGTTGCGTGTCGGCAGTGAAGCGCGCTAGTGACCTTCCAACTTTTTGGCCCCTCTGCTGCTTGTTGCTGCACGAAAGGAACTGGCACTTCTGCATGTGATGGGACCGGCAATGCAGCTTTTCCTTGACAATGCGCCCCATCGATGACTTCGATACATTCAGCGATCTCCCCAGCCTTCTGATGGAGCACCGTGGATTGCTAACCAACCATTTTAATCATTCTGTCCGTGGGAACGCTGACCATACTTCCTCGCCCGACTTTTAACGAATGTTTCTACTCTCCTGCATCGCTTCGACGACCATCTAATCAATCCTGAGGGGAAACACAAGAAATTAAGTGAATGTCCTTCGATGCAGTCCCTTCCTCAGGCATGTGACTGATCGCAGGTCGCATTGGATCACCTCTTGCCATCTCGGAGATACTGGCAGTTTTACCCCAATAACGGTGCAGTTCACAAGAGAACCTCTTTGCACAACTATTATCGGCGCGAAAAATGAAAATAATAAATACTATTCTAGTGAAAAAATTTGGCGCAAGTAATTTCGGGACACCCTTAATAACGAAATAGATCACATCATCTTCAATCAAACGTCTCATTTGTAGAGTTCTACACAGGATTGGGCCATCGTCCCCTCCACGAAAGGTTCCTCGATGCCTGTTGAGGGGCGGCCAAGTTCGAGGTTGAAGCGAAACCCTGAAAATTGCTCAACTGAGCCCTGCATACATTTATTTTCAGCTCATGGGAGAATGCCGTAGTTGAAGACCTTGACGGTGATTACTGTCGGCTCGTTGAATTTTGAGGTTACAAAAGAGGGTCTCAAGGAGCGAACTGCAGCTGTACTACTGAAGTAGCAGAGGGTTGCCAGCTGAAAATAAAGATGAGCTACTTTTGACGTCTGGATGGAACAGTTACTGCATCCCGAAGGGCAATGGAGAAAGTCATCCACGACTTCTACTCGGATCCATCGTCCATGTCCATCTGCCTACTTATCAACTGCAGCAGGATAGGATACCTAGTCCTTTCCCTTCATCTTCCAAATTCCGACATGCCATCAGGTAAGAGCCGTACAGCACCCAGTCTCGGCAGTTCAACATGTAGAGAATTCACCTCCCCTTACAGCAAAACTCAGCCTTGACCCACTCCGAGCGTGTTGGTGTGCAAGAAGGGAGACTTCGATGACATTGGCAATTGCTTCCCGCTTCCGCCTGCGCCGGATCCTGGAAGGGAGTAATTGATACCGAAACCTTCATCCTTCACTCGTTCGCCATCTCTGACTTGAGCACTGTTTCGCGTAATTTCTTTTTGTTTCGCGCGCCGAAGGGGAATATAAATGATAAGGTTCAGAACGCAGTCAGTGTATTTGTTGGACCGAAGGAAGTTGTTGAAAGATCCGAACGTCCAATAAAGCCGAAGGGTATGAGATTAAGTTCTCTGAAAATTTTTACTCGCTCAGAAGTATTTTGCAGCTGTAAAAGAGGAGAAGAGTGATCCAATCGTTCAGCTGGTAAATCGTGTTGCAAACATGGTCACCGCCGGAAGAGAAGATGCTCAAGCGGAAGTTAGTGAATTGCTTGTAAATCAGGGATGCGAGACAAGAGCCCCCGCTGCCGCGCAAGCGAAAGTAGGTCAAAGCACGCGGCGGTTACTGGTTCCTGCAAGTTGGAACGTGGCAGTCTGTAAGGAGTAAGTTAAAACAATGCAGAATTGGAGAATACAAAAAAGCGTTGTATCCATCCAGAGAGACGGGTCCTGAACTTGGCCAATTGCGGTATTTCAAATTGCGAAAACGCCGGCGACGTCACGCGCGGAGAACTAGTTTTAGCGGAACGGTCGCGCGGGACTAATGAGTGTCTCTTGTTAAGCACTTCACATCTGATTACCTCCAAACCGTAGTGATGATGGAACGGCCCCTTCCAATAGCCAGCAGATTGCGCGACTTGCGCACCTCGGGCGATATCCCAGTGCTAGTGATTCCAGCCATGTGCTAGCAATTCCATCAATACCGAGCCGCCATTGCTGTCTCATGTCTGGATCAGCAGACGCACCGCTCAATCCGTTCAACTCACTAGGAATTGGTCGTAAAATCTGGGACGGTGATATTTTGACAGACTTGGGTTCACGGGTGGTGATCATTCGCCGTAACGGCAAATAATAAAAGGCGAGACCGCGAGATGACTCCGTCTAGACCAGCGAATATCCCCGCATTGCTAGCAAAACTTGCCCGCCCATAGGATTGAACATTGTAATGCAACGTCCCATTTTCGTAACCTCTCCCACTGCACCACGAAGCACTTCTAATTTGCGTTGAAGAAGTTACAGAAAACAAGGTAGTAAACTATGAGGGTTGTGACTTAATACAACCCTGAATGTTGATCCCGTGACCGACCTAATGCCAACATGGAACGAACACGCTGCGCCAGTTGGTGTGTCCATGCTGTAGGATTAGCCAGATTGATTCGACGAGAGTCTGTTTGCCCCCGTGCCCTAGGATGGAGCTATAACACGGTCAATAAATGGACTATGGGACAAAACAGCTGATCATTTTATTGGCAGGTAGTTATCAATATTATCGATAGCTCCAGCTTCCCAGGGATTCAGTAGGTACGACGGGGACGCAAAGGGTCGCGCTGACGCCCACTTAAAGGTTTGCTCCGAAAGACATCATAGTGTCCTTCAGCGCGGCCCTCTGACTAGCTGCCCCATTGTTTTCCCCTTTCTCTGTCAGGTTCGCCTTCTATGGTTCATGATCTTATTGACTGGCCACTAAGGAGTGTTCTGTAAAGCATGCCATATACCTGAGATCACCATGAGCTTTCTTTCCTCTCGCTTTTCGAGCGATGACATAGTAACCACCTATAGACTGGCCGTTTAAGCCGCTTCTATACCATCCTTGGCATCTATACTTATAGCAAGTTACACGTTCATTGGTATTAAGTTTGCGAGAACTCACGAGCTGAATAAACAGGAAGGTGCCAGACTTTGATACCAATCGCTCGGCAAAGTCTGACGCCTGCTCTAGCAGTGTTTCGCATGGACGCATGCGCGGTCATCATACGATCACGAGGGTATCGCGGATTGGCTGACTGCTCAGACTTTGTACAATGTTCTAGCAGCGGGCGCAGCGTATTAAGTCAGTGGCTGACTTGTATTCTAATGGCAAAAAAGGAGTAGAAATTTCGCCAAAGAATGTTTGAAGTGTACCCCACTTACCGTGTGACAGAAATTTCAATAAATTAGGCCACTGTATTAGTCATCAGCCACTGTTCATCGCATCAGCATATTGATTCGAGTAACTGGACCGAGGTCAACGAGGCGGTACGTCGGAAGATGCGCCGAGTTTCCAAAGTGACGGCTCCAAAGTAGAACTAGAGCGAGAAACCACAATGGTCTATGACGTGAAAGTAGCTCTGATCACGACTCCTTGATTTCGTTGTGCCAAAAATAGGGGTAGAGGAGATCGGCTCTGACCTGGATGCGTAGATACCACTTGGACATTGCTGCGCGATTTTTCGAGTTGGATTTTATTATTTATTGAGTATTGAGTATTTTGTCCCACATTCGGTGGAATTGTCAACCGTCCGTTCGTAATTCTCAGCGGTGGGCGTATTTTGGTCTTGGGAGGGGATCGCTCGTCAGTTTTTATTTTTGACAAGGTCGGAGTCGTATTTCAAATTTTCGGAGGAAGTCATGGAGCCGGAATTTGGGTAGTCGTGTTGCAGAGAATGAAGGAGTTTATCCGTTTCTTGAGAAGTTTTGAGCGATTTTGCGGAAACGAAGGAAGGAAGCGTAAAATAGAGAAAATAGCCCGCTTGGTGGCCGTTTTAAGTGGAAAGTAAACGGAGCTGCTGTGTGTAGGCTTACCTGAGAATTACAGTCTTACAGACAGCAAAGGTGGTCAGGGTAGTGCTCGGGATGGAGTCCGTATCAAGACCTCCATTGGTGTGGGGGTGTAAAAATGTATGGAATCGGAGCAACGAACGACTGACCCTCTTCGGAGGCCGCACGTTAATGTTGATCAAAAAAATTGCAAAGTTAAACTTGAAGAGAGCGAATCCGAGGATCGTAAAAAGTATTCCCTAGCTTCGTGAAGTATTCATCAATATCAATTCATGCATTATATTTAAGGTCAGTGTTACTGTGACTGTACGACCAAAGCCACAAAAGGAATCTAAGCCAACAGAAGCAAAAGAACAGGCAAAAGAGAAAAAATAGTGATCAGGGTGGTATCGGTTGTGTGTATTCGTACATTCGTCATAATACTGTAGATGTCCGCAGCACAAACATTAAATTATTTATTAAAAGACTGTGATTGCAGTAATATGAAAGGCGGTATTGAGGCTCCTTTTGAGGAAACGCTATCCGTAACACTTCAACACAGGTAGATTGCTGTTGTTTTACCCTCTCCGGTCAGCCGGATCCCTGGGGTGTTATGCGCTGCTTGTTCCCTGGATCGGCTGACTTTCATGGGTGAGAAAGTCATGAGGAGCTAATTTTTTTTCAAAGATTCACATCCTCGGCAATTTTTTTCTTCACTGTATATCTTTCCAAAATGCTCACTTCAGATAGTTGACAGGGCCATACCAGGGCCAAGTTATCGAAGTTTATAAGTTGAGCAACAATCAAACAGTTTATTATACAACAACGTCCTTACAAAGTAAAGTTCTCATCAACAATTCCCTGATCCTCACAGCAGTGTTTAAGAACAGCCCAACTTCTGTTTAAGCAACATATTTACACCACTTTTCAAATGATTGAGCACCTACTTCTAAAATTTACAAAAACATCCTAGAAAATGATACCTGAATAATACCTGAAATTCTGCTTCCGAAAATTTCTCATCATCTTACAACATGAACATTGAAATTTTGCCTCTACGATTTATTCGTGCAACAATTTATTGGGGATGATATCACTCCATTATATAAACCAGAAGTTTGGTGTGTCGGTTTGTTTGTGTGTGTGTTTGCACGTCTGTCTGTCCGTCCGCAAAATGGTCGACTAGAGGCGAAAGATATCGTGATTGTGATACCACTTTCCTACCAGTATAAGAACAACCATTCAGTAGGATCGAATTCATTTCGGGGGTTTGGCTGTAAAGCAAGAGCTAAGGATTAGGCCTGTGGGCAGTCACCGCGCGACGTCGTACACGCGGCTTGCCGCGTGCGGGAAACCGCGCGACAAATTCGAGCGAGGTTTTAGGCATTTACTGCTTCCCGCGCCTGTGTATTCGTCAGTTACTTTCCTTTGTTTCCTTTTACTTTCGTTTTAATTTTTCTCCCAATCCTTCTCGATTTTTTCTTTTCATTAAATTTGACTCAAGCGTTCGCGTTGACACTAGAGCGTTCATACTTACAAGTGTTATGTGAGGTGGTACCGGGACACTGTGGGTGAAATAGGATGATAGAAACTAATAAGGGCTGTCAGGGCGCCTTGAACTCACAAGTCCCCATTCCGTTGAGCAGCTGACATTGACACTTGAGCGTTCATAATTACAAGTGTTATATGGGGTGGTACCTGGACATTGTAGGTGGGCGACAAAAATGATAGCAACTGATAGGGGCTGATAAGGAGTCTTAGAAGGCAGAAGTCGGCAATTCCATTGCGCAGTTCACGTTGGCACTATGGGGCTCTTTTCATAAGTGTTATTAGGGGTGGGTCGTGGACATTCTATCGATATAATCAGCTTGGCTTGAGCAGACTCTTGGCGAATGGTACATTCCATTCTTGATCTAATACCAAGAAGACCAGAACTCATTTAATGACCGCCAAAGCTTAGGATTTGCGAACACTGTGAATGAAGGATCAGCATTAGATGCTCACTTATGATAATGTTGCAATTTAATTGTGAGGCTAACACCATAACCCTATTCACCGCTAAATTATCAAAATTCAGGAGAATGGCCGAGTGTTTACAGAGCTATGTGTGATAAATATACCTGGAGTGCCTGCGGAATCTTAGGTCGTATGATACGCGCGATACCGGGCGGAGCAAAGCTGGTGCAGTTATATTTGAACAACTTGCCGACTCAATACTTCCCAGAAAATGATAATTGGACATCTTCGGACAGACGGCAACCTAAATCAAAATAAGTAGGCTTTTGCTCGAAAAATTTTCGCATGACATTCTACAATGTCCTTTTTGAGCATAGGTACAAGTTTATTATTATTCTTGGTAACATTTCAGATAAAAATACTCGCGGAATTTGCTGCAATGTGAATCTGTCCGCTTACATCGCGCTGCCGCATGCTTCCAATCGTGCTGCTCCGATGCTTTTTTGTAACACACTTTACACTTCCTTTAACTTTGTCGTTTCGACCTTGGCCTTTTGCTAGCATATGTTGTCATACGTGAAAATTCGGCAGAAAGCTTTCCTTAAAAAACTCAATCAGCCGGCACTTAAACGCATGTAAGGAAATCTTGGATCTGATGAGACTGGACAGCTTCCATGCATTTTGTGGTTCGAGTGTCAAGCGATGCGCTAGTCTCAAATACCACTTTGAAGTTTTTCGGATAAAAGGTGTATATGCCACCATCTGATCTGCTAAAATCAAATAGCCCTTTGCTTGGCTGCGGTCTTCAATAACGTGTGGTGTCGGCAGTGCGCCGTCGTTATGCCTGGTTGATAGCATTAATACGTCTCCATTTCAAGACTGTTATACCCGTTCGGTTCTGACGACAAATTTATTCTCCTCTTTACAATCTTTGCAGAGAATATCCTTGAATGCGACAACTCTCTTCTCACGCGATGTGCCAATCAAGTAGTCTTCAGGGTTAGTTTTTCGCCTAAATGGACTGAGGTGTAAAAATATCTGAACGAAGGCTCCTTTCTCACTCAATCCAGCAGTCCGTCCATCAGCTTCATCACAATATCTTGATCCCTGTTGGCTGATTTTCTTTCTTGCATAGCCAATATAGCGAAATGTGAAGCCATCGTGCGTGAGAAAGTTGGGAAGCTTGATCCCGTACTTTCGTTTTTTTCCTTACACGTATTGCCTTAACAGCACTCGTCCTCTGGATGAAACGTTCTGTTCCAGGATTGTGAGCATTAGAGAAAGGTTTGTTCAGCAGCTCGACGAAACTCGCAACTTTGTAAAGCCTGTTTGTCATGTCTGCAGTCATTATCAGCAGAGTCTAGCGAATCAAGAATCACAACTAATCTCATTCTTGAAATGTGCTGTGCACGGAATGATTTACTGTACCTGATTCACCAATAATGTGTGAGATGTGCTCTGATTTAATGCCTATGTGCAGGCAGAGGGCCAAAACTTCCACAATTCAATCTCATCAAGCGATTGAAACATATCTTACTTAGCAGCTCCGTATCTGCCAGTTTCCGCCAAAGTCAGTTCAAAGAGATCAGTGTTGAGGAAGTAACAGAAAAATTCTGCAGGCTCCTTCAATTGGGGCAAGAAGTCATCTCTCATCTCTCTTGAAGTCGTTAAAAACAAACTCTGATCCAAGCTTCGGTATCTTTTTCTTCACTCTCTACCACTGGCGAAACGAGAAGATCACTTCACCACTTTCTTCCAATTCTTCGTGCTATCACTCAAAGCTTTCGTCTAGGTCGTCCATGGCCATTAAAAATAACATGCTAATCATCAAAAACTTTAAAAAAACCTTCAAATGCTATTAAATAGAATAGTACAAACTTACAAAACATGACTTCAAGAAACCGCTCTGAGTGGTTGCCTGGCTGTGTATGAGTGTCAGGCCGGGCGAGCACCAAAAAAGTCGCGCATAAGCGTCCGCCAACGAAAAGCACGCGGTCCGAAAAAAGGTTCAGCAACACCCCCAGATCGACTTGATGGTGTAAAAGCGGCCGATAAGAAAATCCTGGATGCCGATTTGATCGTGAATGGGAAAAGAAACAAAGGAAACCGCCGGTGAAGACCTTGAATAAGGAATCCCCCTTTCCCCTTGCAATAAGGAGGGTATGTGGCCGGACTTATAGCGGCTTTCCAAGGTGAGTTTTTGCTTCAGTGGCTGATCATGTGTTCTCGACAAAGGCTCACGCATCTTGTCTTCCCACCAGTAGCCGAAATATGCCCATCTGGGGTGTTGCTTCAAGTCTGCTTTTCAACATTAGGCTGCTCATAGAGTTAGAGCCAATTTTACAATGCAGGTGCACATGGGGCACTCAACGATAGGACAACGCTTAGAAGAAAATAGTCCGATAAATTCGCTCCATATGAGGCGGATACCTAGTAGAAGGGGAAACCAAGAAGCTAGTTGAGATATATCAAAGGTTTTTCGCGCCGAAATGAACGCTTGAAAGAAACTGACAACCTTATCTATTGACTGTTCAAAGTTTGCCCGTCTTGAAGTGGCGGTCACGCCCGCTGTTTTGCACCCTCTGTGCTTTATTTTTGCAGCGAAGAGACGGAGCACGGCTTGAAACCTGTGGCTGCAAGTCATGCAGCGCGCGTAATCAACGGAACGGAGGTCTTAATCCCTAGGTTTCGGGCGATTTTCTTGGTTACTGATACCGTTTCACCACTTTTGGACTTCATCCTTCATGTTTGA